AGATAAAGGAGGCTTGGAGGCTCCTGCTAGTTTTTCCAAGTTGCTTCCTAGGTTCGCCGGTTTACTGCTCCGATCCCAGATTTGGAGAGAACGATGTACGTATAGCCGGGATCAGATACCTACGAACTCTTTTGGTTTGAAAGCTACTCTCAAAGGTCTCCGTTACCCATATCCACTGCTACTCCGCTTCTCACGTAACAAACTGATCCCAGTTGGTCAGCCATCTCGGGCGTTCTGAGTGACCGCTCTTCATCTATTTCCAGGAGAGAAAATTCGAAACTTGCAGCTGTCTTAACGTCGAGTTAGTTCCTGGAGAAACATTGTTGCAGGCTGAGATGGTTATCCTGGGCTCCTCCCTGGAGTAGGTCGGAGGAGGGGAGCCTACCACGTGGGCTAACCTAAGTACCCAGTAATTCTCCATGCAGTCGTCTACAGGGAGCACTGCAGGCCCCCGATCATGCAAGCGAGGCACGTGGAGATGGAAAGTGTCCGTTGCATTTAGCAGCTGCTGACGAGCATTTCCTATGCAGAATAATAAAAACAAGTGTTTTAAAATCCTTCCTACGCTCTACTAAAGCGTGACAAATATATGTACGAAGCTAAATACAGCATATCAAGGACCTGTTTACTATTTTGCGGGATCCCACACTTCGTTCAGGAATATTACCCGGCCTCAACCTTCCGATACACGCCGACGTTGTAACCCATCCGAAGTGTGACTTCCTACCAGGTAGTGACAACACAATCTGCCGTTATGGTTGCTAAACAACGTGAGTTTGTTGCGCATGTGATTTCTGGACGATTGAAGAGACCAAAAAACCCACTGGTAGTAGGTACCTGCCTATGTGGGAGAAGCCCCTTAATTAACAGTTTGGATCCTTGATATTAGGGTGACATAATGACACCACACCTGCATTCGTTCTGTAGTCCATTCAAAGATGTGAGTATGGTGGAATCTCCCTTCCCGGCACCATGGGAGTATGGTAAGAGCCTCATTTTTCTTGACAACAAAGTTAAGCCCTCAGGCAGGTTACACTCATTTATACTGAATTGAATTGGCTCTGTGTAACGGGTTCGGAGATGAGGCAAAGTTCTTATATTTCCCGCCGGGTAAAGGTGTCGGTCGAGAAGGCCCGACTGGGGCATAACATCAGATCGATTTTTAGTGCCTTTCTGAACCGTATTTACAGTCCAGAATCTTTGGACTCTACGGATTTAGTGCGATTCACAAACCCGTAGTTGCTTTGCAAACTGCAGGTAGATGGGTGGTCGATCGATGCCCAACCGGCCACACCGACGGCCAACTCGATGAAGAAAGTGTGGTTCGTGGTGAAATCTGTGTTTTGTGGTGAGGCTCCTGGCACCTTGCAGGGTATGTTGGTGGAGCCCAATCAGGGCTGCTTGGCTCACCGAACTGCAGTGTTGGTTGATGCAGGTCGTTTACTGTCAAAGGGCCAAGGTTGCTTCATCGAAACCGATGAGCTGGCGGGGAAAGAGGCGGCGTTGAGATGGGAACATGATCAGGAGTCTTTTATCTTTTTCGATGGAGCTGTTTTACATATTTTCGCTGAGATTTGGTATTTTGTGACGACAATATTGGCCCTTGTGCACCATCAGGAACGCAGTTCTCGTAATGTAATGGGTGGGCAACTGGCTTCTGTGGCTGTGCTGCCAATATTACTAATCGAGCTAGCAGGCTGCTGACGATGTTGGAGAAAAAAATACCTGGTAGCCAAGGCGTTTTCCTATGATCCCCAAAGTCTGACAAAATCGTGGCTGCCGTTGTTGAGGAGTGACGTGGGAAGGTGTGGCTGGCCGCTCATGCAGATAATAACCTGTGGCTGCATGGGCATGGAGGCCTTACCCTATTAATTTTAGAAGAAGCGATTGATCCCAAGGCTGCTCACCGAGTGCCCGCCGTTTTCTCACCCCCAACCGCCGCTGCACGTTGCAGCCTGGGCAGCGTTCAGCAAATGGGTGACACTTTGCGCGGTCGAATGCGCTTGTTTGGGCGGCGGTAGGGCTTGAGCCTGCTAAACTTGGCAGTTGATAGGGCAGCGACGGCCCGAGGTGTGCTCCTGCCGCCTTGTTCTCACTCTCCGAGGAAGGAGCGAAAAAAGTGCCGTCCAGTGCAGCTTTCACCGCTCATCGGCAGAACGGGGGCTGCTGTTGTCGAACGTCGGACAAAGCGTGTGGGCAGTCACTTGGGGGAACATGACGCGGCTCACATGCAGAGGGGCTGGGGCAGACTGCCCCACCATGTGTCGGCCGCGACTTCGTCCGAGGCGGGTGTATCTCGCCGTTCCCAAGTAACGGTCGATGAAGGAAGGAAGGTGGTGTTTTCGGAAATCGGATGTGCTAAATCCCGCCAGGGCAGGCTACTACTGTCAGGGACGCAGGTAATAACCTGTCATGACTTCGGGTCCCTGGCTTCCCTGGCTTCGTAATATGCTTAATCACCCGAACCCGACTGTCTGGCGACGGACCCCATAGGCCGGCACGGCGAAAAGGCGGCGGACGCACAAGGCACGTTTTGTGTCGTGAGAGGCGTGAATAAGCGCCTGGCAGTCGCAACTTTGATCGCAGGGACCGTTTGGGCCCACAAGCGGAGATTTCGGATCTACATAAACGCGTATGTGGCACCACCACTTCCTCGATTAGACCTGCCCCAGAATTATGTGCCGTTTCCCGCGTGCAACATAGAAGGAGGCTTGGTGATCTTACACTTTCCTTAGCCCAGCGGCTTGCTTGTCCTCCCGGGCGCTTGGGCTTTACTGAGTAATCCCGTTCGGAAGCCAACCTGAAATTGGGTGCCCCTCAAACACCCTAGGAACCTACCTACCTACCACAGCGCCACCTACCACTGAAGGAGCGGCAGGAGAATTTGGGGTCCATTTTCAGACCACGGCCCTCCAAATTCGAACAGAACACATGCTTTTCCAGGTTTGACCGCCCACAGCTTCCATTTACTTGAGACAACAGGTTTTTTAATGTTCCACGCGAGGTTCCACGCGAGGTTCCACCCGAGGTTCCAACCATGGAACTTTCCACGGGAGTATGCCCAATTTGGGGCCATTCCTTTGTGTTTGGTCCTCAATGAGGCTGTCAGTCTGCCCGAGTCAAATACCAATGCGGTGCCTGAAGAGTCAGCCCTACCACCTGTCAACGCCCTGTTATCCACCCCCTGTCGCTCAGTGAGGTCCTGGCGAGGTACAAGATATGAACACAGGTCCAGGTATCTTCCCACCAAAACGCATTGCAATTCCTTCCAATCTGTCTTTATCAGCTCCTGCCTCCCAAGTACCCCGATGCCACCCACCATTCCCGGCTGATGGGTAAAGGTTGTTGCATGGTTCGTGTCGGTACTCTGAATCACGAAAGCAGACGTGGTAGGTGTCAAAGTGAGGCCCAACCCGGGCACCCCAGCAAAAATGTTCAACGCCGATCACGATATAAGTGTTGGGTGGCGGGATGCTGAACACATGGTTTTTCTCTTTTTGAGAAGTTCTTTGCTGGACGTTGATGATCGCCATCCACCTTGTCAACATGGCCCAGCAGCAGCAACATTTGACACAGCAGCAGTCCCATCAAGCGGCGTGGGGGGCAGAGGGGACTGAGACACGCTTTGGGGGCCTCCCAGGGGCGAGCGGCCCGTCCCATTCGCTTGGTGTCGACCCCGCCGACGAACACCATAATGGCGAGACCCAGCAGTTCTCTCCCTACCACCCCACCTTCGTTTTTACATCTCCGGACCCTCGATATGTGGCTCTTGAATCGGCCACCGTGAGCTACCTTCACTCACCTACATCGAGCCCCAACACGAATTATTCGTGGGGTTCTTCTCCTGCCCTTTGGCTAGGCTCGAATGATCAGCAACATCTCTCCCCGTCCGCCGCATCCAGCTGGCCAGACTTTGCCGGTCCGTCACAGCCGCCTCACGTCGACACCACTTTCAACACTGCCACTTATGACAACGCGAACAACTTTTACGTCGCACAACATACTTCTCCCCATGCTGCGCCCCATAACGACCCCGATTCGGACGTTGGTGGCATTACCAATGGCGTTGAGCACATTCATTTGTCGCAAAACAGCGAGACTGTCTTGGAGCCAATGTGAGTAACTTTCAGATCCTGCTTCCAGAAATTACGTGCGAACAAAGCACGAAGCTGACAGCAAAACAGCGGACAGGTTGATCCACTATCAACAGCGCCGCAGAGAACGCCAAGCGGAAGAGGCGCCAACTTCAAATGCAAATTCCCGGGCTGTCCTGTGACGTTTTCCGATCGCAAAAACAGGGAGCGACACTACCTCAGCGACAGGCACAACACCAACGCCCCCAAGTTCTTGTGCGTCTGCGGCTATGACCAGGCACGAAAGGATCTCTATTGGAGACACCTCAAGAACTGCAGGGCGTATGCAGAGCCTCCTAATGTCTACACCTGCAGCTGCGGCTATCAAACGAGCGACATGGAGACTCACCGCGCCCACGTCAAGTTGTGCGGCCGCAGGCGGCGGGGAAGAGGACCTGCCAGCTAATGGACACCCAACGGCCTGATATGGTACGAGTACAGGACCCAGGCCGTCTTGCTCTCAACAGGGAGCATCAACTGCTGGCCCTAATGCGTCGCTTCTTTGGGGAGGTTTTCTGATTTAACGTGGATGTGCGCTTTTAGACCGAAAGTACGGATAAACAAAATGTTGTCCTTGGTACGATCAGGGATGAAAATGGATAAACAGGGCGGCATTCTGCTTTGCTTTTTGAGTTAGAGAGTTTATACCATGCCTTTCTTACATAGAAGTTGAAATTAAAAGTCTGCATTTGTCTGAACATGCGACTTTAACACAGTGCTACATGCCATCATTAAAGACAGCGGAGCTAGATTCCCAAAATGCCAGGTCCAGGAATAGACAAGATAAGCTTAACTCGAATCAACTCAGCCACACAGCTCATCTTATTTTATTATACTAGAACAGTGGAAATCGCAAAAGTAAACGTTCTCTCCCGCCGGGAATTGAACCCGGGTCCTGAGCGAAATCATCTGTGAAGCTGACAAGCTCATATACTGACCACTATACTACGGAAGATTCGCAGGTGTGGACACCTGCCGTAGCTGCTAGTTGTTGATGGAGCGAGTGGGTAGCAGCCCTAAGTAAATGGGAACAGCTGGAACAGAATCGAATGGACCCACCTCCTGTTAGAAAGCAATCAAGAAAAGGGTTTCTCTTCCAAGGCATGCATGCCATACAGGTACATACTTGAACTTCAAAGTCAGAGGCAAACATAAGAGAGACGATTCTTCGGTAAATATTACAACACCACCATAATTATCAAACTTCAGAATTGCTGTACAACTCAACTTGAAGCTTCAAGTCATTCAGCGAAATGAGATTTGATGCAACAAGGAATCCACTCCACTCCTCCTGAAGCCCTGACTCTCCACGGCACAAAAGCAGCTTCCCTGCGTCTAGATATCATTCGACTCAACAGGTCGGATGGTGTAGTTGGCTATCACGTCAGTCTAACACACTGAAGGTCTCCGGTTCAAGCCCGGGTCTGATCAAAATTCTTTCTTTTTGCCATTTCATGCTCTCGGCTTATCTATTAGCCTCGGCTTTATACTCACAGAGTAAAAAGCTGTTGCTAGCTGGGAAGGAGTGGGTGGGGGTGGTTCTTGCAATTCTATAACAGTCTCACAATTCGCGGAAATGATGTTGATATGATGTGGCGTGATGAGGCGCAGTTTGGTGACATGGAAGCGGCGAATTGCGGAACTGTTATAGAATGGCAGGAAACCCCCTTCTCCTGCTAGATACCGCTTTGGTGCTCAAGATTGGTAACTCGAAATCTGCCAAACATAGAGCACGCCGTTGAGTCATAAAACCTTGAAGCAAGCCCCCCAATTTCTTTTCCCGCTACTTCGTTATGAGAAACAATTCTCTTCTGGGACGATCATTTGACCAAGAACTGGGATTATGTCGATGTTTTTGTTGTTGTTCTCAGAGCCCTCTATGATATTAAAGCATTGGAAGCCAGTGACACAACCATGGGAGAGCCAGGGTTTCGGAAGGATTTTACACGTCTCCGGCTTACCGCTTGACAGTGCCAGTCTTCTGCACACCACCACCCCGTCTCCTAGCCAATCTGCATTCATTCCTCGTAAGATGTGATCGATGACAACCACGATCGTCCCAAGAGCGGCCCGTCTGCCGAAGCAGGGAGCCCGGTTCAAGAGCGTGGCTGCATGAAGAGGTTGGGGGTGGTGTGAGCTCAGACATCACACCAACAATTAATGTAGGCATCACCGTATGACCAGGTTTCCGTATCACGGACTAAAGCTATAAGGGGCGGCAGAAAGAACAGGGTACCTAGCACGTGCAGTTGACTAAAGTCAACACGGCGAATCATTTTACTCGTATCATATACGGTCACAACAATATTCCACACCGCGTATGGTGAGGTGGCATTCCACGAGCGTCCCCTGGCATAGAAATGCAAGACAAAGCGTGGGGTCCACGTGGGCTATCTCCTGTGCCACCCCCACCCCAACGACGGTAGTCCCTTGTCTGGCAGGTGTCAATGTTAAGTTTGTGTGCAGACCGGAATGTTTGGCAGTCTTCCAATTGGAAAGCTAGAAGCGAGTGCAACATAAGTCCCACGGTTTCTGAGACCAACATCTCGTGTTCCAGGGGTGCCGTATCAAGCAGCAAATCAAGTTCCATTCCGATTTTGCTTGACAGGTGCTGCACACAGTCAGCACCACCACGAGCTCTAGTAAACACTACTATGAATGATGCCGAGTTAAAGGCCGACGGATGATTTCGACCAACAAATATTTCAAAAAGCGTCCAGTAAACCATGCAAGCTTGGTTTGTGGCTTGCCTAGACACTGGATGCGCTGATGAGTACTTGCTCTCAACTGCGCCTCGTCAGCCAGACAGCTGCCAAATTATGCGCAGGTCATTCTAGAACACTGTCAGCCTTACCCCGGAACGGGAAATGCTGAGATTTGATTAGCATGGACCTGGGCCCGCGCGGGGGGGCGCATGACTATATTCTCACGAGCATATAGGATAAATGACCGGGTCCCATTCCGGCACCCAGATTATCCCCTGCATTACCCGTCTCCTCTATCCCGGATCCTGGGGAACAGGCGCCTGAAGTTTTCACTGGAGTGAATGATGGAGAAGGATCATCAGTGTACTCCCCTCCGATATATGAAACGCATCCACATTTGTACCACTAAGATGCAAAATTGCCCGATTTGGAAATCCCCAACTCCCATCGCTCCGCCTTGCTACTGAGAATCCACCTCTCACAGTTGAGCGAAATATACCATTTATCCGGCATATGGATCTTCACAAGACCGCTTGTACATGGCCATCGAAACCCCTCACTTTGTCCACAATGCCATGGTTTTGCGTCTGATCTCTCATCACAAAAAAGTGCAATGTTTCCAATTCTGTCAAAGTAAACAACGGTGAGAAAAGGAGGGCCAAGGATTGTCGGAGAGCTTCCCGACATTCCTGTCAATCCCAGCCTTGTCACACGGTGATCGCCCAGTTTGGCCTCTCCCCCATTTTACGCCTGCCTAATACGTCGAACCCTGGCTTAGTACGGACGGACGTTAGGGCCGGGCTGAAGCCATGAAGCGGCGCAGATACACGATGGTCAGACACAACTGAATTCAGACATCAGTTGAAGCTGCTTTGTTGAAGGGAATTATTCATCCTCATGACAAACCGTCATGACCTACCGACGTACCCGACAGCGCGGCACAGATCAACATAGTACATGAGCCTCTAATAAGGATAAATACCAAGCCTCTCTCCGCCCCAATCAATTCCAGCTTCCCGTTTCCCCATCTTCCAACAGCGGCACATCCTGCATCCCGTCCTGCACAGTATATCCAAAACGCATATCATCCCTCCTATAACCAGCCCAGCGTAAGGCCTTCATACTTCCTTCCCGCCTTTAACATCCCGTCTCTTTGCCTTCCCTTTCCCACGCCCACCAAACCATGAAGTCATATACCCTCCTTGCCGCCGCGGCCGGGCTGTCGATCCTTCCATCTGCCCTCGCCCACTCCCTCCTCGTCGGCGTCATCATCAACGGCAAGAACTACCACGGCTACGACCCTCGCCCGGGCGCCGTCAACCCGGCCGACCGTGTCGGCTGGCTCACTACGGCTGAAGACCAAGGCTACGTCTCAGCGCTCAACTATAGCACCCCAGACATTGTGTGCCACCGCGGCGGCAAGTCCCCCGTGGCCCACGCGCCCGTCCGCGCCGGCGACAAAGTCCACGTGCAGTGGAACGGCTGGCCAGCAGGCCACCAAGGGCCCGTCATATCCTACGTCGCGCCGTGCAAGAGCACCAAGGGCGACGGATGCACGTCGGCCGACAAGAACACCTTATCATGGACGAAGATCGAGAACGGCGAGCCGGGGCTCTTCAACCCGCTCACCAGCCCGCCGCCGGGCGACTGGGCGTCCAACCACCTGGCGAATAACAACAACAGCTGGCTCGTCGGGATCCCCACTGGGCTCAAACCGGGCCCTTACGTCCTCCGCCACGAGATTATTGCCTTGCACTTCGCCGCCGAGCTGGGCGGCGCGCAGAACTATCCCCTGTGCATCAACCTGTGGGTGGAAGCACCCGCCCCTGGAGTTCCCGTCAAGCCGTTCAACCTCGCGGCGGGGATCCCAGCCACAAAGATGTACAAGTCGACCGACCCGGGGATTCTGATCGATATCTACAAGACGCAGACGACGTCGTACGTGATCCCCGGTCCCACGGTGGCGCCCAACGCGAACCCCGTGCCTGTCACGGCGCAGACGATTAGTGCGTCGACGGCCGACGGCGTGCCGGTCGTGGTCGCTTCGGGCACTAAGACGGTGCCGTTTGCGCAGCCTACAGCTGTGGTGAGGCGGTATCCGCGCACTTTCTAAGGTACATGACCCAAGTGCCAAGTTCGTGACACTGGCAGAGATGATGTTTTGGGTTGTTGATGTTGGGTTTTGCTTGGAGTTGGAGTCGGAGATGTGAAGATGGCAGGAGAAGGGTGGCTGGAAGAGATGAGGCAGACAGGCGGCGGGCGGCTGTGGTGAAGTTGGTGTCCGCGCAATTTCTAGGGTACACCCAATTTCGTGACCCGGCAGGGAGGATGGCTTGGGTACGCTGATGTTGGGTTTTGCTGAAGTTGGAGTTGGAGATGCGACAATGGAATGTTGAGAAGATGGGCCGAAAGGGAAGAGGAACTTGGAAGGCTCGGACATGATAGGTGACATGGAGGGTAGTAGCTGCAGCAGCAGCGGCGGCGACGGCGTGGTGCAAGTGTGCTGGAAGGGCGTTTTTGGTGTATACTTCTTGTCTGGCAACTAAAAAAAAAAAAAAAAGGAAAGCTCACTTTCTCCGTTATTTTTTATTTTTTTCGTTTTCTGTATTTCAATCCATAGAAATTCACTTGAAGACTCCCAAATCCCCCTTCCCTTACGGCCCTTTTCCCCGCTCCTCCCTCCCACTGTGCCTGGCTGTTAGGGTGTGGGTCTTGTCTCGTGGCTCTCATACCGGAGGCCCCCTGGTTAAAAAATCAGTGTTGGGTCCTCGTCGGGAGGAAACAGAAAGCATTAGATGATCTTCGAAAGCTTATAGTTGGTGGATGCTTGACACGGCGACGCCGATTCAGTGCTGATACAAGATATAATCTCCCGTCACAGTCGTGCTGATGTGGAAGCGTGGCCCGTCCGACCTGATTTGTTATGATATTCGCATGCCACTGCCGTGATACGTGAGGATGCAGATAATGCTGAGGGATTGTGGGGGTTGCTGCGTTGTATCTGCAGGCACTCGCTTATAATCCGGTTTCAAGCGACAACTTGGGGACGATCGTCAGCCTGGTGCGGCTCATTGGAAGCCTTCTCAACTTTCTTGTCTATGGTTTGCTAGTTCACATGATGTTACTCGTAACGCCGTTTCCAGGACAAGGCATATTTATCATTAGCGCAAGGTTGGTACAATCTTGCAGCTTCGTGTCGTGGAGACGAGGGGAGATATGCGGGTATGCCAGCAATCATTGGATGAATGAT